CAGACTGAAGATCCCTTTCCAGAGCTTATTGCTCTCCCTTCCTACATGGCTTTTCTGAATCTAAGACCTAATTATCTATCATGCATTACATGTAAAGGTCAACCTAAATAATGGTTTCTAAATTCAGCTGGGCGTCAGTCAACTTCTGGCCCAAACAACCATGAGAACTGTAGAAAAATGTCCCCGCTCTGTATGCACCCTTGCACTCCAAACAGAAATAGAAAACCCCACTCAAAGTGCCACTGTGGATCCACCAATACGTACCAACTTGTTCTCTGCCATGCTGGCAGTGAAAGAAATAGCAGGGGTGAGAAATTGGTGGAGGAGGCAAACAAGATGGAAAATAACATGTGAAAAGCAATAAAATCCCATGTGGGTAGCCTCTTCTCATCCCCAGGTGTTCATTTTCTCTCCTAGGAGAACAGGGTGGCAGTTTTCACGGCTTGACTAGAAGTCACGTGGCACCAAGTCTCCCAGACCTCCTCTTGATGAATTACATAGAAGTCATATTAGACTGCAGGTTATTGATTTAGAACATTTCTCACCTCTGATTCACTCAATGTATTAAATATTTGAAAAAATTTGAAAAGCTTTACCAGAATGTTTTGTATCTTACATTCAACTACAGATATATAATGGCTTATTTTGAAGTCTACAATAACTGTAGCAAATCATGACTGCTTCTTTCAAAATCAAGAGATCAGTATTTTCCAAGAGTTTTGTTCATAAGTATATATAGTCATCCTATTCTGTCTAAATTCCTTCTGTTTAGGTTATTGGCTTTGCAGTATAGGACAAACAGCAGAAAATGTTTTTCTGTTGTTTCTATATTTGTTTTGTTTTGGCTACTGGTGAATGAACTCAGGACCTTGCTCTTGTGAGGCAGGCAGGGTGCCACTGAGCTAAATCCCTAGCCCAAAAATGTATTCTTTTAATGAAATATTTCATCATCAGCCAAAGAAACAAGCTATTCTTTGTGTCTCTGCCACTATGGATATAGTCAAACCTAGGCTGTGTCTAAAAGGTTGAAAATTATTTTAATTATATATCTATATTTCCATTGGAAAACAATCTGTGTTATTTTGTCCTCTTCCTATTCTCATTTTATGCTCTGGGCCCTCGGGTAATCACAACTTTGGCTCTTACATTTGAAAAACAAGTTTTGTCAGATAAGGTTTGATTCTGCTTGCTGAACTGTTAGTTCACTGCTACACCATCCAAAGCACATAGAGAAAGTAAAGAAGTGTGAGAATTAAACTGTACAAGAAGTTAACTTAATCCTAAAATAACAGAAAAGCTCAATTAAACTGTATCCATTTAAAGAGACCTAATCTAAAAATAAATGAGAAGAGAATATAACAATAAGTGAGATATTTCTATATCCTGGCCTTAACATCAAGAAATATTTAATTTTTAAAAATAGTGAAGAGCAAAAGGACAAAAGTGCACAGATGAAACATTCAAATAAGTCAGTAGGCCCCTATTATCTCTCTCCACAAGGGCAGACAGGCCATTACTGCCACGGTGGGAGAGTGAAATATTCTCCTGCTCATACAAGTGAACCAATCTCCCCCTTGTAGGGGCGATCACAGCAAGGGCGAATACACTAAGTGAATCAAGACAGCGACTGCCTGCAGGATGTCTGCAGACCAGGTGGAAAGAACTCGCTCCTGGTGTCACCAGGGCAATCACATTAAGGTAAGAGAAACTTTCAAGCAACTAGGAAAAAAACATTATCTCAAAAGGTCTCTTTTTCACCTGGTTACAATTAAACCTTACAGGGAAGAAGAAGACGAAGACAAAGAAAAGAGGAAAAGGAAGAGAAAGCGGAAGTAGCATTCAAGCACCACAGTGGGCTAGGCACCTTGGCAGGAACTTTGCTCACTTGATCTCATCTGATGTTGTCATAAATTCTGAGACTTTGATCTCTTCTTTTCTCATTATAACGGTAAATCACCCACCTTCACTCTACTAGTTAGTGATACAATGAGATTAAAACAGTCCATAACACTTTGAAGCACATGTTCCTCCCACATTTGGGAAATTCTGCCTGCCAGTTTCCCTCGTGCTTCTCAAACCTATGACACATCTGCCTCTCTCTTAACTGAATCAGGCATTCTCCAAACCGGAATATCATTGCTTCCCTTCCAACAGAGACTTTTCTTCAATCAACTGTTTATTTGTTAAATATCATAAGGAAAGTCATGGAAGGGAAGGGAAGGGAAGGGGGAAAGAAAAGAAAGACTATGGACCAGGAACAAGCAGAGTCAGAACAAAAGGACACCTTATCAATGTGTTTGTTTGTTTGTTTTACAGTTAGTATAGTAGTTAAGCTGCATCTATGACAATATTTTAAGAATTTCTTAGGTATTTCTGAATACCAACTAGGAAAAATAATGCCTATTTACCAACTCAGAATGGATTTTTGTCACATCTTAAATATATTTTATACTATGGCTTGGTTTTTAAGTGTTTACATGCAAAGTAATTGAGAAAACCTCTCTATACATTCTTTGACACAGCTTTCATTTAAATATTTAATTTTAAATACATTTTTAGGTAAGGATATATAAAGCAAGATTGCCTCTTAACCAACTAAAGAACATGACTCCTGCTAGCTAAATGACTATAAACAATACACAAAGTATTATTAATGCATTGGGTTCAGCATCTCAGCAAAACAAGTTAATTATTTATAATTTAGTTATGTGTTAACATGTCTTAGCATGTTAAGACAATTATGATAACTGTATTATACTAGGACATCAAAACTCTTACAATAAGGCATATGCATGTCTCTGCAAAAACACTAACTCATTTAACCAAAATTAAAAACAAAATCTTACGAAACAGTTTTAACTGATGGATAAGTAAACTCTAACTCGCGACAAGTTAATTTCTCTAAGCAATCAGAACCTAACAAAAGACAGTTGAAAACACAAGAAATTATTTGGATGAAAACAAAACCTTTTTTTAAAGCTAGTTCTTTTGTAAATTTTACAAAGAACACATGAATATTTTAAACTTTATTGTTTTATGTATCTTCTGTTGATATTTGTGATATACAAGTTACTTTTATTTGGTGAGATTTATATATACCTCCAGGAGACCACAATATTGATTATGCCCAAAGCAGGCTGTACGCAATGCAGGCTGTGAAGAGTTAACCCCACAATTGGCTTATTTATAGAAACGAGTCTAGCCAAAGCCTTCGTGCCAAGGTCAGAGTAACTCACACCCAAATTCCATTCCCACAATTAAACCCTTCTAAGTAGAAGGACCATGTTCTAATTACAACCATATATTTTGTCTATTCTGTTCCTAATTTGAGAATGCTTTGTCTTGTCTTTTATGAGCCTTGCTTACATTAGTTTCCATAGAAACCACACGATTATGTGTCCTCGTACATAGTTTTGCCCTTGCATGTAGCCTAATTGATTACCAATAAAAATAAGTGGCTTGAACTGGCCAGGGCCTTTGTTGGTTGCACTGGCATTGGCTGTCCTGACACCTTGCTTTCTGTCTGTCTTAGTTCTGTCTCCCCTGCCCCCCCGCCTCACTCAGGCCTTCATCGTACACTGGACAGGAGACTGGAACCTACTGCAGAGGTTTCCAGTAATGTTTCAGGGGTTCACGGTATATACCTCTTTCCCTGAAAACAAGACTAGCTGGAAATAATCAGCCTTGAAAACTACTGATCAAAAACCTGCCTTTGAGAGGAGCCAAAGAACAAGAGAACAATGATGGCCACTAAAGCCAAAATAGGCCTATTGGGGCTGGCGTTTTTGCTCTCTAGTTTTCAAGGCTGATTATTTTCCAGCTAGGTCTTATTTTCAGGGAAAACTGAATGTATAATCTTGATTAGTTTTAATTCTTCTATTCCCTTTACCCATTATTTTGATCCCTTTCCTCATCTCCAAAAAGTCTGCCTCCTTGTTGTCATTCCTTTATTCATCCTCTTTGATTCATTTATATTTTTGGTTTCTTATACAAGAGAAATCATGCAATATTTACCTTTCTGTGGGACTCTTTTGTAAATGGAGGAAATAGATATCGATTTTACTTGTAACACAAACCCTTTGAATTATCCTTTGGGTTTAACTCTATTCAAAGTGACACCTGTGTGCCTATGTGCCAGTCATGGTCAAGAACATCCAGACTTCAGGCCTCCTCAGTGGACACTGTACCCCAAGAGTCTGGGGGTTCACTGGGGATGGGGAATGTGGGAATGGAAAACAGGCAACGCTTAAGTTCACTCTTCTTTCTTCATTGGCCTTTGCCAACACCAGACAATGTGAAATATATCAGGGAAAATTAAAATTAGTGTGGGCTAAAAATTTTGAAACTTTCTATCAGATATGACTTTCCAAAGAATTCAGACATGAATCATGGCCAAGTTTAATGTCACCTACACAGTAGATCTACCATAGTTTGGTACCATGGTTTCAGGATACCTACTTTGCTGCTGGTAAGTAGGGGTCTAAAATCCAAGCAGAACTACATGGATAACATCTATGAATATTTCATCTATGTCACACAGAGGCATTACAAAGTATTCTCGCCCCCAAACATTTCTTCATATGTGATATTTTAGGCCACAACTGGACAATTCTTCCCAACTTTTAATGGTGGATAACAAATCATTCTTTCCTATATCTAGTATGACTCAATTTTGTTAAATTCTCCTGCTCCTGAGAATACTTGTAACTTTTATTGCTACCTGCAGACGCATTTTAAAAACTGTACTTATAAATTTAATTTATACTTTATTTTATAAATGACACCCAGTAAGAGCAAAAGTTTAAAGTAAAATTCTCCTGTAGTCAATACATGAAGGATTATGACTTTTCTTAAAATGCCAGATGGACCTTAAACAGTTAAACTTATCACAAGGGACTAATAAAAAGAGATATAAACTTAAGAAGTGATGTTCATAGGCCAATATAATTGTCTGTGTCTTGAGATGTATTAACAATTAAAAATTGCTTAACCAGTTGCCTTTGTTCTGATTTCACATTCAACCAACAAGTTTCAGGTTATAATTTAATATCTTATACTAAATTATCCACGCAGGGAGAATGGACCGGTCATAGGACTATAGTTCCCTGGTTAGTGGAAAAATTGTATTTCCCATTAACACTTAGTAAATTGGCACCCAATTTTAGACATCAATTGTGTGAGCTTCATTTACCCAAATCTGTCGCTTAGAAATGCGTCCATTCTTCTAAATTGACAAAAACTTCAGAGTTTCAATCCTAGACCACCTCAGGGACAGATCGCTCACTGTGACAAATTCACTGAAGCAAAGCCTCCTCCTGGTGTTCTGTGGGGGCCTCCGAGCCAGCTGTTGGCCTGGCCCCAGCCACAGGACATTCACAGCCTGCTTCCATCTTTACGTTTCCGCTGCTCCAGAACAGCCGTGCTAACCGTACCACCCGTTAATTGTTGGCATCTTAGCCTTATGCGCTGAAATTTACCGCACGTGGAGCATATTCTTCACTTCTAATTGGGGAGAAAATGAACTTTTGTTGTTTTTCAGCCTACCTCATGTCAATTGTCATTTTTAGGGAGAAAGACTAAAAGTTAAGAAAGTAAATAATCATCACCTTCTTGTTGCCATCAAGCAGAGTAAGACAATACATAAAAGATACTAGTTTTTTAAATATTCCAGATTTAGATGCTTTTTGCAATTTTATATATATATATATAGTTATAGTTATAGTTTTATAAC